TTGAAAGACATCAAAAAATGATAAACTAATTGTGATTATAACATATGAAACATATAAAAACTTCATCTGGAATATATAAAATTGTCCTAAACGAAAGTCCAAATTAAGGGTACAAAGCACAGCAGGATTTGTGACTTCATCTGATTTAGAATTTGCTTCGTTACGGCGCTTGCGATGTTCAGCTTCTTAAAGTCTTAAAGCAGAGTCAGCGGATAACGGCGCTTGTCTTAAAGCAGAGTCAGCGGATAGCGATGTGGTTTGTTCAATTTGAATGTTTGCTTGCAAGGTGGGCATAATATCTTGAGTATTAATTAAATGGGATGATATTTCTTTCTATAAAATATAACTCAACAAATAGATTATTCAAAAAATAATTAAAAGCAAAAAGAGGAATTCGTAGTTAAATAAAAAGGAGTATTGGGTAGGGTATATTAAGGAATAGGATAGGGGAATCAGACAATCACTTAATTAGTGATTGCCATGACTAACAGGGGGTATCAGTAAGGGGTGGACTGGGGTGCCGCCATTTTAGGGGGAAGACAAAATGACGGATCCTCAGTCCCGGGTTTCGGCTCCATTTCCTCGGGAGAAGATCCCTCCCGACCTTCCCCCCGGAGGAAGAGCCAGAAGAAGGATTGGGGAATATCCAACCCCGCCTCCCCACAATAGGGACTAGCCTCGTGCAGGGACAGTGCAGGGCTATTGGGGGAGAGATGGGACTGGCGGGAAACCAGGGGCGGAAAAGAAGGGTCAAGGCAGGAAAATGGGTCCCGAGCGGCGTGGCCAGCGCCATCTTGGGAGGGGGTGCCAGGCACACTGCACTTGGCCTGAGCAGTGTCCGGCAGGGCACTTGGGGCAGCTCGGCCACAGCAATCCCCAAGGGAGGATAGGAAAGGGTTTTAGGAAAGTCCGAGGGGATGGGGATATAGGGAGCTTCACAGAAGCAAAAAGGGGAAATTTATGGGGGGGGGGGGCCTAACGCAGCTGGATGTCGGCGCAATGCGTGGGTGTAAAGGGCCCCTTTCAACAACTCTCCTATAGCTAACGTGTCGCCCTCTTAGCTGTTCCCTACTGGTGTCTTTTCTACCCCCTCCGTCCAGCCCAGAATGGGGAGGGGAGGATAGAGA